TTATAACTAACACAAACACTCATCTTCCTTTTTTACCTCATTAACACAATTTATTCTTTTTATAAATACAAATAATATAACAATCTGACTTGAATTGACAATTGTTGTTTTGGGGATGTCTTGTAGAGTTGCTACTCGTGGCTAGTTACAACTTATTTACGATGGAGGAACGGTTAATATGTAGAATTTGTTGATTCCCAGACGTACAGATGATAAACAGCTCCTGAACAATTACACTGATGATGAAGTATATAATGATGAAGGACAGTAAAATCTAACAGCTGTTTAGCACTCTTATAGTACTATCATCATTTTCACGTCTTTTGTGATTATGTTGCTTAAGACACATCATCATTTTTTAAGTAAAATACACTTTTATCCAATTGATTTGTAAACCCTCACATTTGCCCAACGATAAAATATGATTTAAACTTTCCAACATCAGGAGTTCTTTAATATTTTGTTATAACGGATAAAATAAATATTTATTCAAGAACTGAAACAAAGAAAATAATGTTATAATAATAATATAGAATATAATAATACAATAAGATGATACCTTTCTAGAAATACACTATCAAGATAATGTTTCATGTCTTGATCAAACATCATGAAGATGTGTAATAAGCTATTATATTTGCTTTCAAATTCTTGGAATAATTTGTCCTGTATGACCATCTGAGAAATGTATTGTGCATAGTTTAATTGATTATTTATTCGGGACTGGGCGTAAACCACAAGACTATTTAAGCTGTGAACTAATGCAAGTTCACTATCCACCTTATGTATAAATGATTCCAATTGAGTTATTTTATCTACTTCATTCTCTTCAGATAGCGCTAATGCTATTACGTCCTTATAAGATTGCAACATAGTGGCTATAGAATCCATTTCTTGAACGAAAACAGTCCATATATCAATTTCATTATTCAGTCTCTCGTTCAGCCAATTTGCACTGTGATCATAACCCACTGATCCAATAGCATATTTCCCAGTTTGATTTATAGCCACTATATCCTTTAGTGCCATATTAATATTTCGGTGAAGTAATTCGTCCTTTCTCAATGTAAATTTTGACTTTATTTTAATATTACATATAGCGAACTTGTATCGGATTACGTCCATACTTATAGAAATTAACGGAGCAGCCATTATAATTGACACACTACTTTATTGTCACGCAAAATAACTTTCACACATGAAAATACTTTAACAATAATGGTTGACTTAGAACAGGACTGAATAGTACACTGAGCTGCAGGACGACCAAAGCTTATAGTACCTGATTTATGGCGCTGTTATCGAAATTTAGTTCGATAACAGCATTATGTGGCGCCACTAGTTATATTATTAATAATAATTTGTTATTAAATGTATTTTAATTATAATACATACAATATAAAATATATATTTGCAAATAAAGTAATTTATTTCGAAACAAAACTGGGAGATATATTTGATAAGGAAACAGTGAATTTTCTGTTTCCTCATGAAAAATATGATGATAGTGTGGATATGATGCTTATTATCTTCTTTGTCTAAGCGAGAAACTTTAGGGGTCTTAGCTTAAATCCACCGTTTCCACAAAAAATATTTTTTTCTAGGATTTCGTGAATATCCTTCCAGATTTCATCTGAAATAAATGTTTCTTCATCAAAAATATGGTCATTGTTGTCAGGTTTCTCAGATGTTGCATCTTCTAATCTTCGATGACCTTTGATCTCTAAAAGGTCATCGATGTCCTTCAGGCTTGCTAATATTCTTCTTGGTTCTTCAGCAACTCACTTTCGTAGTCATCTTCAAACTCCTCGTCTGCATCTGGTGTTTCTTTACGAATACGTCATCTTTGAACTTCTCATCAATTTTAGCATCTTCAATATTTTTAAAACTCGTTTCTTTAAAATTATGCTTCTACAGGTAATGTAAGTAACTGACAATAACATAATATTTTTTATTTGGGTTTATACTTTTTAATAATAACAAATATAAGATCTAGGATGTTAAAATAATGTATCAAATATGAAATTCGAAACAATGACAAATCCAAATTTAATATACTCAATAATAAATAACTAAAAAAATATATGTATGAATCTGTGAAAGAGGGCGACATAGATTTAATTCTGGATTCTCTCACATAAATGAATTGCCGATGAGTTTCACTACTCTCATATCTTTCCCAGCTTAAAAGATGAGGAAGTCAACCGTTGGCAGAATTGGCTCGAACACTTGAGCAGAAAGTTAAGACATATTTCAACAGCTTCAACAGCTTCATAAGTCCCGCACTTGCTAGGGATGGCCCTGGTCTTAAGGGCCATCCCTAGCAAGTGCAGGACTTAGGGCAAACAATAATTTTGGGGCCCGTTAAACATTTTTTTTTATAATTTAAAATCGCAACTCTAGTGAAACCTTTGCGTAGCCTAAATATTTGTTGCAGGCTCACGTTCGTGCCTGTCGGTTTGCATAAGGCTGGGGGCCCTCAAAGCACGGTCTAAGGACGGCTCTGTTTAAGTCAATAAGTGAAGATTAATCACCAATGGTCGATGACCATTTAAATTTTGTCAACTGGTAGATTATTTACTGAATGTTTTTCTTATAAAATAGATTGTAAATAAAAAAAATTGCTTTACAAAAATTGAATGTATTTTCCAAGATATTTTAATTTAAATAAACTAATTTTCATAGACGCCAATGAACTGACTGAAAAGTCAAATATCTTTTCTTATACATTTTTCAATCAGTGGGGCACATAGTTGTGTCACGCCGTCGTCAACGTGAACACCTGCGAAACACGTGCGTTTTAATTGAATACCTGCGTGAAAACCTACCATTTAACTGTATACCAGCGAAATTTGTGCGTTTTAATTGTACTTGTTCGCTCATGAATAATATATGTTACTTGTTACTTGTCAGCAAATAACTTGTCATGTTATTAGCACCGACAAAACTGGATAAGTATTCCATTGAGTGAATTTCAAAACTTTATTTCTTTTATATAAATACTGTTTTCTTAACGCAAATTGTTTCAAAATACGACTATTAAGAAAATCCTATTCACGTTTTCTACAATTTCTGCAGCTGGTAGCAGACGACTTGATGATAGCACAAAAATTCCAATAGACTCTTTGGAAAGCTGAGGTATTTAGCTTTCAATTGAGTTGTCGAAGATGTAATTATCTTAAGGGGTTGTCGAGAAATTTACGAAATACTGAAAAAAATTGCAAAAATCTTCTATTCTGTTTTGTTACGAACATTACGTAACTTTTGTTTCATAAAAAGTTGCGTAAAGGTGTCGCCCATCATACGAAACCATAAAATGCAATAAAAGTTACGTAATTTTCAAGAAATTAAGAAAAACATGAAAACTCATCGTTTCTCATCGAAAAACGATTTTTAAGCAAATCCTATTCACTTTTTTCCAAGCTCATAGCAAGCGACTTGATAACAGCACGAAAATGCTAATATTCTCGTTGGAAAGGTGAGCTATTCAGATTTCAATTGAGTGGACGAAGATGAAGATCTAATTACCTTAAGGGGTTGTCGAGAAATTCTGAAAAAAATCGTCTATTTTCTGGTTCATAACGAACATTACATAAAAAGTTTCGCAACGCTTGCGTGCATGTGATTATGTAAAAAAATCATAAAAAAGTTCATTAGTTTTCGAGTTATTAACGAAAATCCATTTTTTTGTTAAATCTTATTCACTTTTTTTTCAATTTCTACAACTCATAGCAGGTAAGTCGGCGGCAGTACGAAGATACCAGTAGGCTCTTTGGAAAGGTGGGATATTGTGTATTCCCTGTTACGTAGCGAACATTACGTAAATTTTGTTACATAGAAAGCTGCCTAATGGTAGCGCCCATCTTACGCAAACATGAAATGCAACAAAATCCTATTCACTTTTTTTCTCATTTTTGCAGCTCTTAGCAGGCGACTCAGCGATAGCACGAAGATGCCAATATCTTAATAATTATAAAGATGTCCCAATATAAATAATAAATTTACAAAATATCAATATCAGGTAAGTAGGGGGTCTACCCAAAACCGAAAAACATGACAAGGGTTCTACGACACAAAAAAGTTTGGGAACCTCTGATGTAAAGATACATATATTTGCATATTGAAAACCCGATTCGAACTCCACCTATCCTCAAAACTTACTACTACATATAGAATGCGACTGGCTAATGCGTTGACAAGACGTAGCTTGACCCTCTAGAAGAGGGAAGCAGGAGGGAAAAAAATGAAAACTAAACATTTAACTTTAATTACAATATTGAACCATAAAATTAACATGATTGGTTGTAGAATAATACATAAAAAGTAAAAGCAGGCAATAGATTAATGAGAAGATGTATGTTTGGTTGCCTACATAACACACAATTTGTTTATTTATTAAAAATAGATAGATTTTATCATATTGTAATTAATATTTATATCTATATTTATTTTATGAATATAATAATATAATTTATTTAATAATTACTTGTATTTTGTTCTGTCACTAAATTAATTACATCATAACCTAAGATACATAATTTGTATTTTCACAGAGAATAGAAAATCTTAATTTCTTATATTTCAATTTTAACAATTGTTGATAATAGTGTATGTTTATAACAGTATTTTAGTACATTTATATTCTGTAATTTGTTTATTATATTTTTCCAGGATTAAACAAGGAAATTGTACGAAGAAGTCTATTGGAATTAGATTTTTTATATTTTTCTAGTTAAAATATTCTATAAAATCTACAAAAATGTTGATTGTGACAACATACAACAATTCATTAATATTATTGAGTCCTTTTGTGAATGCAAAACTAAATCTTTCAACAATTGGTAATGTATTTTAAACTGGTGTAAATTCTTTAATTTATTTTATTTCTTTAAGGGCCAAATATGATGAAAACAATTGAACAAATCTTGTTGAAATCATTTACATTAAGATTAGGTTTCACAACATTATATGATTATAAATGAAATTCACATCAAAACCTGCAACAACATTGAATATTTTGTGACTGAAACTTTAAAACATAATAAATTCAAAGTATGTCATTTTATCATAAGGTAATAATAGTTTTTGAAGATATATATGTAATAAATTTACTGCATTTATTTTTTTAAGGATAAACATATTAGAAGCAATTCAAGAATCACAAGCCTGGTTAAAAATTAAAAAGTAAATTCATATGGAAACTTGCAACAACATTGAACAATTTGTAACTGAAGCTGTAAATCAAAAATAATTTGAAATGTGATATTTGATGAGAAGGTTGAGTATTATTAGAAGCAGCTAAAGAATGAAAAAACATTAATATATTTTTTTTTTCTATTCTAGGAACATACATTGAGTAATTTTGACGAATACAGACATTCTGAAGGAATCATATGTTATGAAGAAGAGGAAATTATAATAATCAATGATGATTGTGTTTGAATATTTCCAATTTTAGTTATTTTGTACAATAACGAAAATCACATTTTATGTTGTATCAAACAGATTAATTGAAACAAAACTTATTCAAACCATCAAACACCCTCCTCATTCTTGTGAGGATGTTTCTCGTATTATGTTCCAGTGGCGAGAATGATGAATAGCTAGAAGTATCAACTAATTCTACTGAAAAGGACATGTAAAAGCGATGGTCGAATGGTGAAGGAATATTTCAGCAGAATCTAATCCTCTGCCACACATCAAAAAAATGATGAAATTCTTCACAGAGAACCAAATAACCGTGCTGGACTGAACAGATAGACAATCTGTAAGAATCGGCTACCACAGTTGATTGAAATACTCATTTCGTCCATAATTGAGGTATGGTTTCGAGACCACATTCTTCATCGAAAAAGGAATCATCTTTGAGTCTAAAGAAAGTCATATATAGTCAAATAAAAGTATATCTATCTGTACGATCCATATGTAATAATAACTGTGTAAAAGTTGTAAAAAAAATGGTTTTTTATGGCGAAAACAAGTAAATATTTTTATCCAAATAAACGTTTTTATGATCATTTTCATTAGATTTTGTAATATATAATCAATAGAAAGAAAAAATTTCAAAATTCGTTCATAATTAAGAAAGTTATAGCGGTTTTTAGATAAGACATTTCGTGCGATTTCACGAATTCGTCACTTAACTCATATTTCAACCAGGATGCTAGGAGTACGAAGAGGTAGCAAAGCCTGTGTAAATTTGGTTATCTATGTACTATTAATTTCAAATTTTCTTTGACTTTTAAATAGATTTTATTGATTTGCTAAATGTACATATATGGGTAGTTATAAGGGGGTGGCGTATATGTGAGCTTTTAGCTCATCTCGGCCACAAATTTTCTTTAAACTATGTTTTTTTTATACGGGCTAACTGTATTCCGGAATGTGATAATCATCAAGAATAACTCTCTTCTTCTTCTCTCTGGCATAAATGTATACATCTATTAACAACAATTAGGCAGCCAGTACTTTATTTATGGATTAGATGTTGATTTAGCTCTTTGTGTGCTAGTGGTTGGTTCCACCAAAAAGAACAATTATTTCCTAGTGGTTTCGCAGTGAAACCACATGTTTTTTTCAAAAACTAAATAAAAATACAGTGGAACCTCGCTTAACGAGCAAAATTAATTGTAAGAAAAATTACTCGCTTAACGAACGACGTTTCGCATAACGAGTGACGATGAGAAGAGAAGTCCCGGATTGCACGCCTGCTACATCATTTTTTAAACTTGTGTACAAATATTATGTGTTTTTTTGAACATGTCTCTATACTAGTAAAAATCCGGAAATTTTGAAACAGATTAAACTCGTTAAGCGAGGTTCCACTGTATACAAATTTGATCGTGCATTCATTCTTAAAGTTTAAATTTTTTAATCTAATTTATCCAAAATATCGACAGATAAAATTATTCTAGGCCGATTTAGCCCTTTGTGTGCTAGTGGTTCCACTGTAAAGATAAGTGGTTCCGCAATGAAATCACATGTTTTTTTCAAAAACTAAACAAAAATAGACAAATTCGAGCATTCATAACACCAATTTATCCAAAAAATCGACAATCGACAAAATTATTCTGGGCCACATAGGGTTAAAGGAACTTTTTTACCTATTACCCCAAAATATATTCATTTACGCCGTTATTACCCTATTTTGACGAGTAGAGGAAGGATAAATCTTTTATACTATTTAGGGTAATATACCCCGGTATCAAGACCACTGATTTAAAGGAAGACCATCGTTTTTTGTAAAATTAAAATATTTGTTCAGTTGGAAAGGTAAAATAATATTATTAATGGAAAAGTGAGGGAAAAAAAAATATGGACTGTATGAATAGGAACATAATTATATAAAATACTAAAGTATAGAACATGGTTTATTTTTGTTTTATTATTATAATTAATATTATACAAACTGCTACTTCAATAAGTCAGAAGCAGTTGTTGATAAGGTAAATTAAAAGATCGAAAAACTTAGAACGTTGCTTTATAATAAAATTTGCTTAGATGAACCAATTAATAAGAGTGAACAATGCAAAGCGCAACGCTAAAAGATCGAATATAATTAGAAACATGAACATCATAAAAAACGTATGTAAAATTAATATAAAAAAGAAATTACTAAATGTGCAATTCAACGTGTACGTATACTTGAACAATTTAGAATTTGAGTGCATTCAAACACTAACATAATAAACATTAATAAATTGTTAATATATATGTATATATATATATAAATATATGTGTAAACTCCAAAAGAAACGAAAAATTAATAATAGTGACTCGGATGATGTTATCACAAAATATTAAGTACATACTGATTTGTACGAATTGACAATTTGGAATTATTGCCTTTGATAAAGCTGCTTGATATTTTTTTTTATACATACACTACGACGACATAACAATGCGCATAAACAGAACACGCGTTTATAGTAAAACAATAGGAACAATAGAAAAAAAATTAATAAGTAAATGTTTTGCAACATCCCTAGCAGTTCTGCGGTATTTTTTCCCTCTTTAAAGAACGTATGGATAATTGATAAGCAAAGCATTTGAACATAATAAGTAACCAATTAATATGCACGTTATATATTGTGCATATTACCTAATACTGATATTGCATTTAGAACCGCTTACAACAAGAGAATATAATAGTATTAAACAATAAAAATGTTATTACTTTAAATGACTAACATGATATCACCAAACCCACGAGTCAACGGAACGTTTCTAAGACGTCCCGGAGGCGAGTTTTTTCTGTATATATATATATGATTTTATAAGTACTTGTTATATAGTATCTTTCATATAATTAATATATATAGATATATATCTATTAGAATACAAAACAATATTTAAAACTTTAAAGTAATAAAGAAAACAAATTTGACAAGAAACATTTAACTAGCTTATGTCTTTAGATATTAATATTAGAAAGAGATCATATTAGCAATATTGATAGCATATTTTTTTGGGATATTATACCTTTCAATACTTAACGTACGGCGAGGGAAGTGGCCGGAGCCTCCATGTCCAGTTTCAGTGGTATGAATTTGCGGACGATTATTGTCGAAACTCGCTGTTTCGGTGTGGTAACAGGCGACAGTGAACGGTCGCTATTTGGTGTAGCCGGTTCATTGATGTTCTGATCATCAGGTAAATTTATTGTGACCGTAAGCATCCCTCTGATATCAGCGTTACAGTTCGCGCTGTACCAAGCTTTCTACATTTCAAAAGAAATTATTTAAATGAATACCTGGGACAACTTCAACCATTATCGATTTTACTTACAAAATAATCAAAGCGGGGTTTTTTGGCGCGACGTCTATCCAACATCTTCTGTGTTCCAAAAAGCTGTTCCACAGTTGGTCGTTGAGCTGGGTCGACATGCATCATCCAATTGATGATAGTCTCCAAATCAAAAGAAATACCTTAAAAAATATGCTTTTATTAGTGAATACTGTAAATATAAAGTAATTACGTTGAGACAATCATTGTACCAAGAATTAATATACAACTCATTGTCAGATAGAAAACAATTGGATTTGAATGTAACTTACGTCCTTTTGCATTGGAGGGAAGCATGCGCCAAGAACATTGACGTAAATCATGCCAGCAAGGACCATAGCCAGGTAGGAGTAAGTCCATGGATAACTCCAGCAAGGATATGCCAAGAGCAAAGATATCACCTGAAGTGCTCATATCACCCTGTAGAACCTCATTTGCTACATATTTAGCATCCCCTTCGGATTTCATTAGGGCGCTCTTTGCTGACTGTAAAGAATTCAAAATGTAAATAATTTAAAATGAAAAATGTTACTTAAACATACCATAAGCTTAACATCAGTCAACAGGCCAAAATCACACAGCTTGTACTTGCCGTCAAAAGTGATCATGATATTATCAGGCTTAATATCATTGTGGCACAAGCCCCTCTGATGTAGAGGAGCCAGTGCCTTCAACAGATCGTAAAGTATATTCCAACACTCCTCTTCGCAGATATTGTGATTCCTCTTTGCATAATCCGCTAGACTCATGATGGCAAGTTCAAACTGTATGTATATCATCCCGCACTCCTCCCAGGCATTCAAGTACTGTATGCAATATGGATTGTTATCAATTAAATCGAGGCAGTCAACCTCTCCATACACATCATTAGGTTTACGCTTAATCACCTTGATAGCATAACACATGTTGTCTTCAACAGACCTGTATCTATGTACACTACCAAATGATCCTTCTCCAATCTTATCAATTTTAAGGAATAGCTGTTCCACATACTTTTTCTTCACAGTCCTATCATACATTAAACTCAACTTGCCTGAAGTAAAAAAAAATAATGAGGTTAGTCTTGTATAATAGAAGTATGGTTAATTACCTTTCGTGCCAACTGGTGTAGCTCCCAATTTCTCTTTACTATTTAGCACAGCAGTGCAAGTCTTCCTTGTGAGAGGAGGACATCTTATTAATTCTCTTTGCTCTTGTTCCTTTGGATTAAATATGTTAGTTGATGACATTGTTAGCAAAAAGATAGTACTCACCAGCTTGGCGGATGGGTGAAGAAAATATACGTTTGATGTACGTAAATCGTATGAACTCTTTCTGCTTTTTACGATTGTTTCGCGATCAGTCTTCTTAGATTTACCTGCCGCCTTCATGTTCTATGTTCTTTGCTGGTCGTCGTAGGGAATGTTAACAGATGACTTAAAATAATTTTTCAGAAAAAACGTCTTCACATAGCTGAATAGTTCGACACGTTCCACTCGACGACCAAGACGCTAATAAGCTAACATGGCCATGCAGTGAGGATTTCAAATAAAAAGCGCACGTGAGCCCCTATTGGCCAAAAAATTTAACGGTCAACAAGTAGTTTTGTTGGCAACGGGTGGTTATGCAACCTTCTAGACCTCTTCTGCGTCTACTTGACTACTATTACGAAGAAGGCATAGACCAAAACAAGAAAAATTATATAATTGTAACATTTGGTCGTCGATTTGATGTGTTCAGCAATGTTGAAATATTTAAATAAAGCGGAAACAACGTTACCTTTTTACCCAGAATCCATTGCTACCAGGTCTTAATTGGTCCCCCTTCCACACATCCTCTGCAATTCTTATATTCAAACATTACATCACGTATATGTAATTTTTATTACAACATTATTATTAATAAATAACTAACAAGTTAACAACATCTGCAAAGATATATTATATATTTAAACTAATAAGATCATATGAGACATTTTTTATATACTTTTACAGCGTAAAGTAATTGAAAATAATGGATTGACTATTGTTGTTATTGTTGCTTGTATGCCTCTATATTTGAAATTATAAACCTTGACACCGATCGCTCTAGGAATTTCAATTAATAATAAACGCATATATAACAAAACAAATGCAGCTCAGTTCGGAAGAAAAAGTATAGAATCATAGTTGTGGCATTTTCTATTCCGATTACCGCAGATTCTTGAAAACGGCTGCGGTTTAAAAACGTGTTCCAACATGCAACGATCGGTTCCGATGATTCACTCAATTTGCGTTGCATAATCGGTCAGAGACGTTTAGTTTGTTGAATGACCAAAAGAACTTTCTCCGATATTTTACTTCGGGACGTTACAATAATAACCGAATTAGTATACAATTGAACAAAGCACAATGATTCGTTTTAATTGCGTGGAAGCCGTGAGAATTAAAATTGATTTAATGGTATCTATTAACATTTCTAAAGCACATTCTAAATTATCAAATAGTTAGTTTATCAAAGCAAATGTTATAAGTGATGTTAATAGAACCAGAAAAAAAAATGGGGCTTTAATTTAACAGGCTGTACCTCTCCTCAACTTATTAGTATAACACTCGTTGTTAGGGTAAATTCGGTTTCGACGTATTTGGTGTCTTTTTGTTGTACTTTTAGGAACGCCTCCGGTGTAAGCTATAGGGAATCGCAGGTAGAAAATACATTTATCTTTGAAAGCGTGTATTAATATGTCCCTTCTTTGGAATCGCTTTCCTGAATTTGTTTGCATTGTATAATATTAGACGAGATAAAATTGTTGGTTTTGTCTCTCTTTAAAAACATTTTTTTTCTTCATATTATCTTAAGAAAAACAATAAGATTATTTATGTTTCTTTCTTTAATGTAATCTAGACATGGACAAAAACAAGTAACAAACAAATAAATTAGTGGCCGTGCTTGACGACGGTCAAGATTGAGCTTTTGGTGATGGACGGTGCGAATAAGAGCTGCTCGTAGTTAAGCCTAAATGGCACCAAGGCTTTGAGACCATCAATTTCTCCTTCGGATTCCAGTTTCCAGCCGGCCAGATACTGATAAGAGTAGACGTAGAAGTGGTTGTTATCAGTGACGGCTGTTAAATATGCATCGCTGATTCCCGCACCTAAGATCCGAATTAATTAATGAAAACATTATCTTTAGGGTGTGATGAAGGTGATTACCGCCTGTGTAGAAAGTAGATACACTGGATACGGGATGCTCGAAGACAATGCTTTGGTAGAGATAATAGTTTTCGAATGCTGAATAGTACTTCCAAACTTGTAGAGGCGTCTTCCGGTGGGCCAATATAATGAGACTGTCGTATCCTAATACCACGGAAGCGGCTGACGTGCATCCAGGTATTGGAATTGTACGTAACAAGTAGAACTGCAAATTTCAATTTATAAATTTAAGTATTGATTGACTGCGTTACAGAACGAACCAATTTCTTGTCTGGGTTGAATCTATAAATGCCAGTGCTTAAATCGCCATTATTGTAATCCGTGTATTCCTTGTTTCCTATAATCAAGTTGATGCCTTGAGCCGTATAAAAGATGTGAAGGGTCCAAGCGGCCTTCGTTGGTATCCTCTGGACATCCTCGACCTGATCCATTTCCTTGGAGAGCCTAAGCACCTGACAGAAGAGGTCATGGCTGTTGATGATGGGGTCGTAGAACCGGCTGAGCACGATGTACACTTGTCCCCCGGAGGTGAAGAACTTCACATCAGATATGTATCCGGTGATCATGTTTTGGTAGACGTGCGAGCTGCCGTTTCTGCTGCCAACAGGTGCTACCGTCCAGGTCAAAGTTGTATACTCGTACAAAGAGGAACCGTTCGTCCTGAAAGCAACAAGGAAGCATTGTTTACCTCAACCTATTTCACTCTCGGCTCTCTCTGTCTATCTTTAGCACGTAGGCACCGATCCATTACCTGCAATCTTCCCCACTGCTAACGCTATTCGTCATTACGTGAACGAAGATCACCTCGTTGCGATAGCTGAACACCCTCTGGCCGTATTTATTTTCGATCACGTTCTTCGAATATCCAGGCGTTATTTGCATTGTGTGTTGGCCGGAGCACAAACAGGCTTCTGGTAATCCGCATTTATTTCCCGGCTCTTCCGACTTTATGTGCATCATAACACTGTCTTCATTCTTCAACGGTTGAGCGTCCACCGCGTTCGCCAAATCTATCTGCAATTTGTCCGACCTTTCCAAGTACAAATATTGATCCGGCAACCCTAAACACATAAGAAAAAAATTACTTTTAAAGACAGATAAAACCATGATGCATTATCTTAATTATCTTAGCTCTAAGGTATTGCAATTCTCTACAGCATGAACCATTTTTCATCACTCCAGTTAATTTTATTAAATAGTTCGCTCAATTGATTTCCATTCCATTTATCTGAACATAGAGTCTTAAGAAAATAAAGATAAGAGTGTAGCTTTGCCTCAATAATACTCACGTTTAATAATCTCGATGTTTTCGTCGACGACGTGCTGGATTTTAGCTACCGTATCTTGAACGATATCTGCCCTAATCTGGGGATTCTGCGTTTCCAGCATTTCCTTGAGGGCATCAATTGGCACCCCGTTGATACTTTGCGCAGCCACGTTCGCATTTATCTCTGAATAACCATCAAAACGCTGAAAATGCCACTTAAATCATTAATGGTGCTTTCAGCTATTTTCCTCTCACCAGGTTGCCCGAAATGTCCGTGGCTTCCGATAATTTTATACTCAGCCGGTGCATATCTTCAAGGCGGAATCCGTTTACTTTATCCACCAGGACGTCTCCGTGCAAGAAAAGATTGGTCATTAGCGTCTTCGGACCTGTAATCACTTGAGATCCTTCATCGAACACAACATCTTCTAACAGGATGTCGTTTATCGCTACGATTCTCGTCGGACCTGAAATCAATACTCGCTCATTATTCCGAATTCATTTACTAAAGACTAGCTAACCATTAAGTTGAATTTCTTCTAAAAAGTAAATCGCTGAAACTACTTGGTCTTCTTCGGAATTAACCAATAACCTGTCGTCTAGGAATTTGTTGAAATTCTGTTTCTGCACGATGCTTACGTTGAAATCGTTAATAATTTCAAGTGAATCAAAGCTTGCATTTGGTATAATTCGAAGATCAGATAGGGTAACTATATTATCAGGAAGTATGCCTGATACTAATTTCGAGTAAAGGCTTTTAGCTTGGAGACCTCCGAAGAAGGTTTTCCTTCCACGTACTGGTGTCTTGAAATCGCGTAAAATACTGCTATTGATTTTGTTGATTTCTAAGGAATTAACTATCGGAATTTGGGCGTTACCAAAAACTGTGGCTCCTCCAGATTTCAATGAAATAAATTCTTTATGCCCAGTGATCACCTGATCGGTATAAGGAATGCTATTCATCACGGCGTCTTCGAATATATCTTTCAACTCAACTCCGTTCAAGGGTTTCGCTGTGAAAAGGTTCTCGGTTGAAATGTGATTGAAGTGGACGGGGGCTGTGATCGTTGCTGGTTTGTTCTTCATCACAGCATTGTTTAATAAGTCCATGATTTTGGAGTCGCCATCGTATATAGTGGTTTCGCCGTTGATTTGGATGGAGTTCCAAAATCGCGTGGGAATGTTGGTGATGCTCCATATGGCATTTGAAAAATCGCATAAGCCAAAATTTGCGTACAAGCTTTTGAGGAATTTAGGACTAGTGATTTGTAGACCATGCTGGACGCGCAGAGTTTGCGGCTCCAAGGACGAGACGTCGAAGAGCTGGGATATGTAGATGTCATTGATTCGCGGAGTTATGATGTTTTCTGGAAGCCCGTTTTACAATGTACTGACCTGTAATTAACTATAAAATTTATTGCTTACGCGTCGTTACGACTCCGAACGAATGCCTTGCCGTTACGTTTTGTGGCCAGTGCCGATAATACAGTCTAGGCAATAAATTCTCGAAATTGATTCCATTTACATTAACCAGATATAGATTTTTCACGTGGATTCGCCCATCGAACGTTACATTCCCCTTAAGCACGTTGCTTTTACGCCCATTCTCAAACTGGATACAAAAACCATAACAGTCGTTACTTTCATAACAAATATCAGTGTTAAACTCACCTTCTCTATTACATTAATGTTATTGATTGATACAACCTGATTCACATTTTTCAGAGTGCTGTTGCCCTTTACAATCACTCTGTTCATCGTATCCATTACGTAAATCTGATTCACCTGGACCACGTACTCATTAAAGAGTTTGTTGTTTATGTTGGTCGCATACAGGTTATCCGCTTTAAATAAATTCAATGTTAATCATTGCTGTGTTTAATTATTAACCATATACCAGTTGCATTGTAGAAGTTCAAGTTATCCTTGGTTGTTGGTACATCTGTGAAGAGCATCCTTCCGAACAATTGATCCATTGTAGCATCGTTCAGTTTATTCGTTAAAAGGTTTTTACAATTAACATCTCCAGATACGATCATATTATTAAAGATTTTAGTTCCTTGAATTTTATATATAAATATTATTGTAATTAGTTTTAAGATTTAATACCTGTAATTTGCGGATTAATCGCTGATGGTAAATTAGCAATATTCAAATCGTTTATTTGATCGACTTTAAGGTCATCTACTTGAATCCTATCAGCGAAAACCTTTTTGCCCTGTATTTCGTATCTGAAATAAATATGTTTATCCCAATTTCATTTACAAAAATTTTATTCTTCACTTACGTTCCTTCCAATTTAACAGCTTTTTCACTAAGTGCTAGCAAATCTGGAGTATGCTGAAAATTATAATCAATAATTATATTACCGGTCACTGTAGCGTTTTCGAATATGTATTTTGTAGGCCCATTTTCTTCCGCATCGTTCACCATATAATTACGTATAGGTACAGTATTCAAGAATTCTGTGCTAAGATGCGGAGCAGTGATTCCTTGTAATGCTTCGAAACGAACCGGTATTTCCTACCGAATAAAATTATTCAACATATATATTAAATCTATTAATTGTATTTACTTGAGTAGTATTCTTTAGCCAATATTGCTGGAATTGATCTTTATTGAACTCGTTGCCAGCGACATGAAGCTTGGCAGTTTCAAGATTAAGATTCTTTAAATAAACGTCTCCCATGATTGTAACTTTCCCGCTGTAAATCTGAAAGTCTTTCTTGTTCTTGCTGATGCTTGGATTGTCCATGTAATAGTTACTAGACTTGTCGATGGATTGATTCAAGTGTAGGTATTTGGTGATCTCGATGTTCTTTATGGTAATCGGACCTATGGTAATTATGTAATATTAGTTGCACAATGTTGTTTTTTTGCAAATTAAACGCTTGCTTTTAATTGTGTTATTTCCAAAGGTAGCTACTTCTTCTTTCAAATTCAATCCGTTCACCTTATCAGTGATAACGTTCGGGACTTGGATATTCCTGAAATGAAGAGTCGAGTGGATGGTTTGGGGCGTATTAACTGTAAATAGATTATTGATTTCGATTCCAGCCAGTCGCTTGGCGCTGAGGTCGTGTGTCTTCACCCTGGCGATCGTAAGGTTTCCTGTGAATCATCGCAAAATTACAGCATCTCCCAACCCTTTTCCAACTCCATAATGCACCTCTAATAGTCTGGTCCCTGCCAATCCGAAAAGCTGAACTCTCGAACTCCTTCCAATCCACGTTGTTCACCTTCTCGACTATCAAATCGTCTATTGTTAGTTTGCTAGCGAACTCGTAATTCACAGCTTTCGGATCTCCAAACAGCTTTATCACATCCGATACGTTTCTCTAGGTAAAAAGAAAGGACAAACTATGTAGACAGGACCGTTTTTACAGCCACCAAACACCATTTTACTTTATTGATCATCTCTGTTTTCAATTCATCGACGTGCAGCTCCGGGAAAGTCTTGTTTCCTTTGATTACTACCGGATGGCTCCTCAAATATATATCTCCCATTTGGATTCCGTTAACCTCAGCTACAGTCACATTGCCAGCTTTTAAATTCCTTAATTTACCGCCTTTCAATTTTTGATTTCCGCTCAACAGAAGCATATCTACAATAAACAAAAGCAAAATAAAATTGTAACTTTTCTTGTATATTAATATATTGCCATTAAAAATGGAATTTGGATGATTCACTTCGGCGTTGATTACTGTAAGATTGATTATTTTAACATCACCAGATATTCCTTGATTTTTGGAGTAAGACAACCATTGATCTGGGGTCCAGTTCATCCCATTCAAGTGTTTGGTCATAATATTAGTAGCCTCTAGATTTCTCACCAATAAATTACCTTCTATGATCAATTTCCCTTCAATAACCTACAACAAACCATAAACTTAAAATATATATAAAACAATTGTAGTAAATACCAAATTTTCTTGCAGTAACGTAGAGAACGTTGATTCCAATTCATTTAATCTCCTTTCCAAGTTTTCAACAATTCCCTCAAAGTCATCCATCTATACACAAAATATTAGATAAGTTATCCTAAAATTGTCTATCTATCAAACCTTTGTTATTTCCTGATTGCTAGCACCCAGCACCGATTTATTTTGATTCTCGTCATATTTTAGTATAATCGTATGCGCTATTTCTTCATCGTTTATCTTCAAGGCTTCACCCAATTCATTCAAGCACGATCCTAGGATATCTGTCGTTGCTACCTGACTCACTAAAGACAAAGCCTGTTATATAATATTTAAAAAAATCTAAGTTGCAAAGCTACCAATTTCAGAAAGTCTTAAATCAAAGGGTATAATGATTTCCTTAAGACTGGAATTTTCTGAAGCGAAGATTACTAAAGAATTTTCAATTAGCGATAGTTCTACTATTTCCATATCAGGAAACGTTCGACTATTTAATAATTCTATTGAATCATCAACTGTGTATACGTATACCGTATGCTGAAATGTTTTATTAAAATCAAGTTTACAGAAATACATTCAAAATACCTTATTTGCAACGAATATTAACGGTATACTTTTCGAACTCTCGTTGATTACTTTACGTACATCTGGGATATTTTCAAAAATTTCATAACGAACTAATTCTTCGTCTGAAACAAATCAATAAAACATATATGAATCAGAATGCATTGGTAATCCTGAATAAGTTAATACTTTTCCATAAATATGCAATGCTTTTGTCGCTATGATCAAAGATAAACACGAATTGCTGGGATTGGCTTTGGAATGCAATTGATTGTTTCGGGTTTGCTGGAGGCAAGACCTGAACTTTGCGCAGTTTGTCATCATTGAATTCGTAAACATACGAAGCTGCCTTTGCGAGCTGCATATTCCTTAAAACAATTATAATTTCGGTAGACAAAGATCCGGAGAAATGCTCCAAAGCGAATGCTCCACTAATAGATAGTTCTTGGATCTCATCGAAATAGGCTCCAGCCCATTTATATAAGCTAAAAATATGAATTATATAATGTTTTTGGAGTTTACTTATAAGCTTACGTTAGAGGCGATTTAGAGTTAAGGTTCCAAGAAGAGACTATCAAAAATATGTTTCCTTTCTTCTCGAACATAACTGCATCTGATATTGGGTGCGAATAAGTAACAGTTTGGATTAAAGTGTTGTTTTCGATGTAGATGTTGAATTGAGAATTGTTAGATGCAGCGAACGTTAGCCTTAGATTTCCATAGTCAAAGAACTGAGATAAAAAAAATATTGTAAGATTTCAATTTCAGGGATCGCAGAGATTTGGTGATACCTTCAGGAAAGTGTATTGTTCCGTGCAGTTGTGATGGACGTCCAAATCGCCGTTAGATCTGATAGAGAACACGACTTGGTCAATTAAGAGTAGGTCCTTCGAGACTTGGACCAGCTGGAATTGATCCGCAACAATCTTCGAAGTTTCTGCATGGAAATCAAGATCTTTCGCGACACCTGGACTCCGGGAATTGTCCTGCGTGGACGCCAACTGCTCGTTGACGTAATCCAAACGCGATTGGATGTAATGCTTCAGATCTTTCTCTCCCGAAACACATGTTACTATTAAAAGTGCACACTGAAAACAAAAACAACTTAAGTGATTTCGAAAGGATTTCTTAGCTTACCAGTGGCCAATAAAAATGTGATTGCATGTTAAAACTAAAACGCGGATAAAAATGCGATCAGCAGACAGGCGATGAAGAGATTCTACAGGTTCGTCGGTGATTTTTGTTTTTATTATATTTTTTTGAGCCGATTCTTTTTTGGATCGGTTTTATCAATTTTATCCGACATTCCGTGTTGTGTTCTCTCTCTCTCTCTATGATTTGATTTTTTTTAGTTGGTTTCGGGGGGCTTTTGTTTTTGGTGCCGGGGGAATTTATCGATTCCCCCCGGTGGCGAGCGTTGCCGTTTTATTGGGTTTTAATTAAAAAAGGGCGGCTAGGGCGGACCTCATCGGAGGGCGCCGCCGCTCCTCTTGTCTCCTCTTTTATTCTATCCACTATCCTTTGGGCGCTCACCGATGGCGTGCATGTTTGAAATAAATGATGGGCGAGTGTTTGCGAGTTTTATGGTAGATAATACAGATTTGATCTATATAAACGAGTGAGATAATGCGGGGTGACGGGCGCGTTGGGCGCGAGGGTCACTTCTTCCATTCCCATCAAACCCATTTACATCTATTTGCATTTCGACCGTCGCCCCGGTCATTTATTAACGGACCGACAAAAGATTATCCCGTCACTCCCGCATTTCCTCCAGTGCACATTGCATACGCACATACGCAAATACGTACGTCTACTCATCCACGCACGCACATCAAGGCCCATTCGAAATCCACCCACGCATTTGTTACCTTCAACCTCCAAAACTGGCCATCGTTCATTGGGTCCACTTCCCAAATGCTGATTAATGCACTAACGGCCGCTGCCACCGGCGATACCAGCAATTAAAGTAATAACAATATAGGTTTATGGGCCCATTGACGGGATAAGCCTCTACATTAGCCCCAAGGAGGAAAACGTTTAAAACAAAAATCATGCGCCATTCAAATTTTAGGTTCTATGCCTCTTTATGGGCCTCAGGCCTCACGCAATTGTCGCGAATAACAGGAAAGCCTCATTTTTTTCCGGCTTACCGTTACTCCTCTTGATAAGCCAAATTCTAATTCATTTCATTGTTATTGCTCAACATTTTTATTCTCATCCAATTATATAGAACCATAATTTATACCAAAATTTTATATTCAAAAAAACTGCAATAACTTTAATAGAAACATTAAAAAAATAATGTTTATTTTGTAAATCTTCAAAATAAGATTTAAATAATCCTAAATAACATAAGATTATCAGTTATACGTGTATATACAGAGTGAGTTTGGAATCCACAGAAGTGTTGGAGATTTGGTTTTGGTAATCTCTTATTGAATAAACGGTGCGGAAGGGAAGTAAAACTGTCGTTCCCTGAGGGGGATTGGTCTGCATATTATTATGATCCGAAGTTCGCGGCAAAGTACATCGCTTTTGCATTTTTACTCCGTAATTAAATCGTAATTTAAGTGTTTTAAAGTGAAAATTAATACGTGCAATTTCGCTAATTGCAATGCACGGTCGGCCATTCCTGCAATAATGAACGCAATATAAATTGCTAAAATTAAGAACGACGGCCTGCAACAAAACAAAGTGCAAATAAAAATAATAAGAAGAATAAGAATAAATATGCATGGCTTCTGTGTAATTGTTCTTCCTCAAACGTTCATTTCATCCGTTCATTTATCCTTTCGCTGTTCTTCGCGTTTATTTATTTATTCTATCCTTTTTCTTCTTCTTCTACTCCTCTCTCCTTCTTTGACGCTCGTTCTTGTTTCCTTCGGTCACGGAACCAACCGTGAAAAGAAAATATAATCGATCTTCGAGTGTTTGGTTCACAACAATGGCCTCGAGCACTTAACAAGAACCAGTCGCAACTTGACCAAACTATCACAACAACATGAGGTAGCTCAAGTAGCCGATAAGAACCAGTGCTAGAACTATTTTAAACTACGCTTCCAGCACCAGACTTTTCAATTAGTTTGAAGAACAAGTTTAAAAAGAAATCATATTTCGAAACTTACAATTTACTAGTCTTCAAAAATAACACATATCATTAATATTAATCCATCTTATTTAACACAAAAAAAAATTAAATGGTTCTATTTTTTTTTTTCAATATTGTTATGTAACTATTGAAAGAAATATACAATATTAATTATTAAACATATTTTAATTATATTGTGTTAATTATGACTAATTTTTTTACTAAACTTAAAAATTTCATTTTATACTTTTCGGTTTTGTTTCCGTTCTTTAGGATTTGTCCCTAATAAGAGGATGTCCCGATTAAACGGAATCAGCTGTATAAGCAATTACATAACGTGGTATCAATTAATCGCGTTATAAGAGGATTGACCGTACCCATCTAATAAAACGTGGTCCTCTAATAAAACGATTTATATATAACGCGGTACCAAATTATCGCGAAGATTTGAATGTATGTGAAATATACTAAAAATAGATCTTAATAACAATTTACAGTCGATTCCACTTAATAGGGACAACGACAAATTTTAAAGAATAATAAATAACAAAAGGAAATGGAACATCGGATAATTGAGGTAACCGCTTAATCGGGACAAATATACTAATGTCGATATGTCCCGATTAAACGGAATGGATTGTGCTTTTAAGATTTTCTTCATTAATGGTTTTTGAAAATACTTCTACACGTTAATTAAGAAGTATCGTTTCCTTTCAGAATACGTTGAAAGTTGTAAATAAAAAATGTGGAGATGTTTCTTAAATAAAAAGATATATATATATGGACGTTGCATAATTTACGAGAGAGGAAGAGGAAATGTGCACGTCGAGTCGACCTCAATATCAATCCGAATACTTAATTAAATCGCAATTAAAGTGGATTCAAGTGAACATGATTACGTAATAATTACACGGCTGCTGCGTGTGTGTGAGTGTGTGCGTTTGAGCGCGCTCCCATAAATTTTCCTCTCCGAACCAAATTGCCTCTAATATTAATTATATGATAGAACAAAAAATGAATATACGAAGCTTTAGCATCATTCTAAACCTCAATTATAAACGATATCTTAGTTCGAACATCAATATTTTCAAAATTATGTTATATGTTTGAGAATGGTGAAACGGTACTAATTATATAATTATAAAAAAAATGCATTGTAATGATAATTAAAAAATAATAATATTAATTAATAATTTTATTGAAGCAGTTCAAAATAATATTATGAAAATAAAAGAAATTGAATAACATTTAAAATATTTTGGTATGTTAATATTTAAATAATAAAAATAAAAATTGTGAGATTTATACTGATATTATTATTTTATTATAATAATATAAACGTTGGAGAAATGTTATATAAACGTTGTTATCTTTGAAATAATAATATTTTTGTAAGGTTTCAAATATATTTAATAAAAGTATGAATAATAGGAGAAAGGAAGGATGTGAACAAAACTAATCTACAAAAAAAAATTGAACGAAAACCTATTGTGTGTTATCTTTCTTTCGGGGGAGGTAAGTAAAATATATAAAAAAAAGTAGAACCCTCGACGAGTTCGGGCCTGTCAATACCTGTTGGGGCCATTGTTGCGACGTTTTTCTTGGAATTCGACCACTATTTCTCGTAAGTTGACCCAAGAGTTCCCTTTTAACGTTGAGCAGGTACCCTACGGGTTTCAACAGGTTTTGCTCGTTTTCTACGCATTTTATTTACTTAACCAACGTGGAACTTTTCCAAACACACACACACACACTCAGACACAACACTCAGCCACAAACGCTTATCCTTATACATAAAACATTCTACGTTTTACAACGGAGAAAAGAATATTTTTGAAAATAATTGTCTCTGCTATTAAGAATTACGTGATTATCGTATTATGTGATTATTGTATTATCAAATTCATGATTATTTTTATATTTTAATGAAATGCATTGCCTGATTACAGTAATTAAGTTAAGTAATATAATTTAATTATAAATGTAACAAACTTCAAATATTAATCAGAAATTGAAAATAGAATTGAAAAATCATAATAGTTATTAGAAAACAAATTGTTGATTGTTTTGCTGACTTAAAACTAATAAAATTAACAAAAATAAAGAGATTTTACTTGAAATTCTTAACAAAAATTAGGTGATTTATTTTAATTCAGGTAAATAAATACAAATTTTGAATGCATTTGTAGATTTGTAATTACGTATTTAAGAAAAGAATATTGGTGAAAATAATTGTCTGCTATTAAGAATTACGTGATTATCGTATTATGTGATGTATTATCATATTCATGATTATTTTTGTATTTTAATGAAATGCATTGCCTGATTACAGTAATTAAGTTAAGTAATATAATTTAATTATAAATGTAATAAACTTGAAAGATTAATCAGAAATTGAAAAATCATAATTGTTATTAGAAAATGTTGATTGTTTTGCTGACTTTAAACTAATAAAATTAACAAAAATAAAAAGATTTTACTTGAAATTCTTAACAAAAATTAGGAGATTTATTTTAATTCAGCTAAATAACTACAAACTTTGAATGCATATGTAGATTTCGTAATTAAATGAAATATACAGTGGAAGGGTAAAAAGTTTATTTAAAATAAATTACAATAAAAGAAAAAAATGTAATTTGATTATTATGAAATAAATTTAATTAAATGCAACAAAAAAATACAAAAATTCAATTCAATTAAATTGATAATTAATTTATAGGTGTTCTTGATATTCCGTTCCATAAAAAATATCACACAAAAATAAAATCGCATAAAAAAGGACAGCACAAAAGTAGGTTCTTTTGTATTTTATTTTACTAAGTTTTCATAAATTTGCTGCATATCAAAGGCTTTCATCATATTTTATAGAAGTCTATATTCAAGTCTTGTGATGACATGTATTCTCATCGATCAACAACAATGAAATTGTTTGAACGAGTTTGTTATCGTCTTTGACATTTTACAATAAATGTTGCAAAATTTGCTTGCAATCATCATTACTAAATTCTCCACACTTTTTTTTCTCTCGATTGGTTGTTTTCTTGGCATTTTGAAGCTTTGGTTATGTCATAGCGGTTAAATAATTAAAAATGTTACTTTTTTCATAAAAAAAAAATC